TTCATGATAATTCTCCTGTTTCTGCCTCCCTAGTGCTAAGATTACAGGAGTGTGCTACTATGCCTAGCTCAAGTTTCTAACAAAATACGACCTTTTTTCTTCAAAATCAAAGAGTAAATTGTAGTTCCAAATATCTTGAGTTATACTGAGAAAACTGAGGGCCATAGAAAACAAAGTTGACAGATAATACTGAAATTCAGTATGTAGAGAACCTAGACACATTTATTAATTGGAGAGAGGAGCTGCATGTCTTCCACAGCTCAAGTGTGGAAGTCAGAGAAGAATCTGCAGACATCGGTTCTCTCCTTCTCCCGTGTGGGTTCAGAGGATTCAACAAGCTTAGTGCATGCCCTATTATCTACTGAGCTCCTGTCTCTCACAGTGGGTATCATTTCTTTTCTCTCTTTCTCTTAATGTTGCTAAGGAGCAAATTCCTGGGCCTTGGGCATGTTAAACAAATACCTTATTATTGGTGTATACCTACAATCCCCAAAACAGAATTTGTCCTCTACTAGTAAGGGTTTTTTAAACATACAGGAAATTGACTTTTCATAAAAATATAAATGTAAGGGGGGAGGGAATGGGAGGGGAGGATGGAGGGGAAACTTTGGTCAGGATGTAAAATAAATGTTTAAATTTAATTAATAACTATATTTATAAATATAAAATCCAGTTTTGAAATAGTAAGGCTAATGTAAATGGGATTTATCACTATAACTATATCATATTTCCAGTTTAGGGTAAAATTCAAATTCTAAAGTAGGATAAGATGGATCACCCCTGAAGATCTTAGTATTTGGAAGTCTGTGGCAAGAGGATAGCCACCAGTCAAAGGACATTGTGGGCTACGTAGTCAGACCAAATTACAGAGTAAAAGACAATCTTTAAAAAAAAAAAGAAAGAAAAGATTAATCCCAGCACTTGGGAGGCAGAGGCAGGCGGATCTCTGTGAGTTCGAGACCAGCCTGGTCTACAAGAGCTAGTTCCAGGACAGGCTCCAAAGCCACAGAGAAACCCTGTCTCGAAGAAAAAAAAAGAAAGAAAGAAAGAAAGAAAGAGAAAGAAAGAAAGAAAGAAAGAAAGGTAAACCACACCTACAATTCCAATAGTAAGTAAGGAGGCAAGAGGGTTTCAACAAGATGGAAACATACCTGTCCTACCTAGTGAGTTACATGCCAACCAGGGCTATACAGCAAGATCTTATCTTAAAAGGGGGGCGGTGGCAAACCAACAGAAGCTGGAGAGATGGCTCAGCTGTTTAGAACAGCTAGCTGCTCATCTAAAAGACCCAGGCTTGATTCCCATCACCCACATGTGTGGTGATATTTTGTTTGTGATTGAACAAATACAGCCTGCCTGAAGATCCAAGTGTGGAGCTAGCCACTGGTTAGCCATAGAGGCCAGGCAGTGGCGGCACACATCTTTAATCCCAGCACTAGGGAGGTGGAGACGGAAGGGATATGGCTGAGCAGAGAGAGGATTATAAAGCAGGAGACAGGAGCTCAGCACATGCAGTCTGGGATTTGTACAGACAGATGCAGTCTGAGGATTCTTGGAGACAGGATCGCCCTTTCAGGCTGAGGTAGTGGTAAGAGCTAGTGGCTGGCTGCTCTGCTTCTCTGATCTTTCAACATTTACCCTTATATCTGACTCTGGGATTTTTATTATAAAGACCAATTAGAATTTATGCTACGTCTGGTGCTCAATGTGGGGTTTAAACCTATGACCCTGGGATTAAAAGTCCCATGCTCGCTTTCCAGCTTGGGCCCGGCAGAATGGCTCCCGCAAAGAAGGGTGGCGAGAAGAAGGGCCGTTCTGCCATCAACGAGGTGGTGACCCGAGAATACACCATCAACATTCACAAGCGCATCCATGGCGTGGGCTTTAAGAAGCGTGCTCCTAGGGCACTTAAAGAAATCCGGAAATTTGCCATGAAGGAGATGGGGACTCCAGATGTGCGGACTGATACCAGGCTCAATAAAGCCGTCTGGACCAAAGGAATAAGGAATGTTCCATATCGTATCCGGGTACGTTTGTCCAGAAAACGTAATGAGGATGAGGACTCACCAAACAAACTCTACACATTGGTAACTTACGTGCCTGTTACCACATTCAAAAATCTACAGACAGTCAATGTGGATGAGAACTAACCTACTGAATCTCAAATAAAGTTGGAGAACAGCCAAAAAAAAAAAAAAAAAAAAGTCCCATGCTCTCAGCATTAACCCTTATATCTGACTCCAGGTTTTTATTATTAAGACCAATTAGAATTTGTGCTACACACATGGTAGCTTACAACTATCTGTGACCCCAGCACAGGAGATTTGATGCCCTTTTCTGGCTTCTGTGGGTACTGTGTGCATGTAGTGTACAAATATACATGTAGGCAAAATGCTTGCACACATGAAAAATAAATCAATTCTTTTAATTAAAAAAGAAGAAGGAAACAAACCAACAAGAGAAAAACTGGTCATGGTAGCTCGTGACCTAACTTTTGGGAGATGTGGGAAAATCAGGATCAATATTACCCTTAGCTTATGTTCAAGGCCAGACTCTGGTCTATAAGACCCTCAATCAAACAGACAAAATAACAACAACAAATCCTAACAAGAAATGGGAATTCTCTTTAGTATAAATCATAGAGCTAAATGAATTTTGTGTTAGTCTATGATTTGGGCATGTGTGGGGGGGGGGCGGTTCAAGACAGGGTTCCTCTGTAACAACCCTAGCTGTCCTGGAGACAAACTGGCCTCAAACTCAGAGAGATCCTCCTGCCTCTGCCTCCCACGTGCTGGGATTGAAGGCGTGTGCCACCACCGCTCAGCTTGTTTTAATCTACATCCAACATGGCTTAAAAGAGAAGCACACAATAGAGGTAGGCTGGCATAGTACATGAAGCAAGAAATAACGTTAAATATTAGATGCCCTGATTAAACTACTCATTTTCCTTTCAAGGGCAGGCCTATTTTTCTTTCTGTGAGAAGGGATATTAATTATAATATCCTAAAATATTTCATAAAGCCATGTTTCTAGGGGCTCTATATGTAAAGTACTCATTTTCCATGTGTAAAAGCCTGAGTTTAGACCCTGCTGCCCACATAAAAGCCAGGTGTGCCTGTGGAATCTGCAATCCTGACAGGAAAGGGGGGGGATGTGACAGGATACAAACATAATGACACACAAGGCTAGGTAGATCCTGGAGCTCACTGGCCAGCTAGTTTCGGTAACCAACAAATTCTGGGTTCATTGAGAGACTGGTCTCAGAACTAATAAGGTGAAGAATAGAGGAAGCCACCCAAGGTTGACCTCAGTCCTCTGCACACACACGTACCTACACAAAAAATTAATAAAAATAGCCTTGTGTGCTGGTACAGCCTTTAATCCCAGGAGAGAGAGGCAGGCAAATTTCTGTGAGTTCAAGGCCAGTTTAGTCTACGTGATGAATTCGAAGCCAGCCAGGGCTGCACGGTGAGACCACGTCCCAAAATAACTAAATAAAAATAAAAATGCATATTTCGGAAATTGGAGGCCAAATAAACTTCTGTGTTTTATTTTATTTATTCATTTATCCCAGCCAGGTAAACAGTGGTACAAATCTATTTAGAGAGCAAAACTAGATTTAAATAGATAAGAGCTGATTGTAAAATTCTACATTAAACAAGAATTTTGAAAACTCATTGGGTTTGGGTGTGGTGGGCCAAGACTGTAATTCCAATACTAGGGAGGCCTAGACGGGAGAGTCTGGAAGTTGAGTCATCCTTGTGCTGCAGATATATAGACAGTCCCTGCCAATGAAAAACTAAAGCCAACAATGGTGTGTGTGATGGTTATTTTCTCTCTCTCTCTCTCTCTCTCTCTCTCTCTCTCTCTCTCTCTCTCTCTCTCTCTCTCTCGCTTGCTCTGTAATCCAGGCTGATTTTGAACTTGTGAAGAGCCTCCCAGATCTGCCTGCCAGGCATTCGTACACAGTTTTTTGTTTGTTCTTTTGAGACAGACGAACTCAAAGGTAGTAGAGGGCATCATTAAACTCAGGATCCTCCTGCCTCCACCTCTCTAGTGCTGGGATTATAGGATTGCTGGAAACTTGCTTATTTTTTAAAAACAATCCTGGCTTCTCTGGAATTCACTATACAGACCAGGAAATTTAGAACTCCAGGTAATCCTTCTGTCTCAGTTTCCCAAGTCTGGGATTTACAGGCCTGATTCCAGGTTCAAAAATTCCACATATTCACTTAAAGATACAACAAAAATTTGTATCAAAATGTAAGCATAACCAATGGAAAACTACCAACCGTGCCGCCGCCAATCACAGCACAAAATAACGCCACAGGTCGTCCAAACTACGCATTTGTTTAAGTCAACAACTGCTCTTTCCTCCCTCAAAGCTATCCCTTCGGCGTCAGAGAAGACAGAGGAATGATTTGTGACTTCTCCCTTTCTGATCCCTCATCCCGGATCCACCTGCTTAGAAGTGTCAAGGAGACTAGAAATGGTTAACGGTGACCAGCTGCAGAAAGAAACAAACATCCTTGACAACCCGCAGCTGAGCAAGCAAGGGCTGTTTATTCACCAACGCGTTCCTTTTGGGGTGCTGCCGGACAAGCCCTGGAAAACAGCACCTCCGAGAAGGTTCCTCCTGGACGGGCAGACAGCGTACACACACACAGACACACACACACACACACACACACACACACACACAGGCACCGATGAGAACATACACACACGCGCACGCCCCGTGTTCCTCTCGTCCCACCCCCACGTGTACACACACACACACACACACACACACACACACACACACACACGCAAGCACCGGTGAGAACGGTCGGGGTACCCACCCGCCCCTCCGGAGCAGCCCCGCACTAAGTCACCCTGTCCCTCCCCGAAGATGGGCTCTGACGCGGCCGAGGCTGACCCGAGCGCCCGACCTCCCGCCGCCGCGGCCGGGCGTGCAGGACCCGGGCCAGAAACTGGCCCTCCAAGCCACCTCCCCTCACCTGGCTCCGTCCCACCTGAGCGCGAGAGCTGAGGGGGCAAGACGCGGAGAAGGGGTGCTGACCTTGTTGCTACTGACAGCGGAGCGCCACATGCTGCCGCTTCCCGGACAGCGGCCCGAAGGACATTTTTTTCCCCCTGGAGGAAGGAAACGGGAGGGCGCCGGCCCGGCGGCGGCGGGCGCGGCGGCGGGGGTCCCGGCGGGCTGTGCAGCCTCTAGCGGGGACGGTCCTAGGACTACATCTCCCAGGCTGCTCCGAGCCGCCCCTGCGTCGTGACCCCGGCGCGCACGGAGGCGGTGACTCTTACCTCACAGTGGTAGCTCCCCCGCCGGCCGCAGCTCGGTGCCCCGGCGGTCCATGGACCGGAACCCCGGGCGGACCGGCAGGAACCCGGGCCGCGATCGCCGCCTCCTGGCTCCAGGCTCCTCCTCCTCGCTCCCCGCCGCCCTCTGCGGACGCCCGCCGGCCGCGCACCGCCGCCGCGGGCCTGTCAGAGCCGCGCCGGGAGGCTGTGTAGCGGGGCCGCGGGCGCCGCGGGACTGAGGCCTACTCCGCCGCGTCTCAGTGCTATTGTCCCCGGGCCTGGCCCTGAGCGGGGCTGCGGCCGAGGGCCGAACTCGCCGGCTCCGCGGAAGATGCCGGACCAAGCCCTTCAACAGATGCTGGACAGGTACGAGCAGCGGCAGGCCGGGTACGGCCGGCCTCCGTCCTGGGCCTGCCCATGCTGGCCTCGAGGCCTCGAGAGCGCGGGTCCTGGCCTCCGCCGAGAGTTCCACCGCCCGGGGGCTGGGAGAGGGCTCCGAGTTTGGAAGTGGCAGTGAAGGGAAGATTGGGCGAGCGGCCTGGGTCGTAGACTTAGAAACTTAGTTAAAGGAGTGGGGTCTGCTTCGGCCGAAAGCTTGTTTTGGAGGTGAAGGGGCGCTGTTGTTAACCCGTAGAATTAGTTTCTTTTCCCCACCTCCTCCCCCTACTGTGTTGTCAAGGGTTTGGCAGCGATGTCACTGGGAAGAACCAGATTATCTTCCTGGAGAATAATCCCCTGCACTTTGAAGCCTGTCTTCACAATGCAAGGATAGGCACTTTTTTTTTTAAGCTTGGGTTTCTTTTCTCCTTCCAACCCCCATCCCATCCCCACCCCCAAGCCGTAAGGTCAGAATATCCACAAGGGAGCCTTAACGGTCGCACTGGAGTAGAGGTTATGGAAAACAGCCACATGCATGCAACATTGAACACGTAGCGCGCCTGACGTTGACTTCCCAGAAACGTGTGGGCTCATACTGGGACCCGTTGCCCCTTCCTGGGGGTCTCCAGCCCGTACAACTCTTTGAGATCTCGACTGCACCGCCCTCTGCTGTTTAAATCCCAGCCAGTGAGTTTTTGGTAGCTAAACCCACGCTACCCACCTAGGCAGCTTCTTGCTGTTCTGACCAACTGTTCAAACTTCTTCCTAATGTTTGTAGTTGCTTGCCACCGCATAGCCTAACTGGCCACCGTGGTCAGCAGGTGGTACTCTTTGAGTCAAGGGCCTCTTGATTGAGATTATAGCCATTGGCTGCTTCGGTGGGGGCACACGCCAGAGAAGGCAAGAAGTTACTCCTCATTTTTTATCCTAAATCCTTGGACAGGACTTGATACTTAGCAGGTGTTCTGTTGTTAGAACTAATGGACTTGTTGGGTTCTCCAGTTGTTTTGTTGGTTTCTGTAGCTTTGCAGCCTGTCCTGGAACTCGCTCTGTAGACCAGGCTGGCCTCAAATTCCCCAAGAGATGCTCTTGTCTCTGCCTCCCAAGTGCTAGGATTAAAGGCATGTGCCACCTCTCCTAGCTGGTTTCTCCGGTTGTTTAGGAGTCTGGTTGCTTATCGGGTTTTCCTTTCCTTAGAGTTTATCAGGTGTGGCATGCTAAAATATGCCCAGAGAGATTGCTGCCTGTGCCAGTCGGTTCCTCCAGAAGGTATTACGTAGCTGTCTGTTCTGATGACATGCCACTTTCACTTTTATGTAGTGACTTTAGAAAAATCTTTACAGCTAGATGTTGTCCTGGTTCTTCATACATTCTTTGGAGATTCACAGGGAAGACTTTACAGAAACTTGGGAATTCCGCCTGCCCTTTGCAGAAATATAAACATAAAACATATTTTGCTCATTTTCCACTCCATTACCCTAGCTCATCCCCCTCCACTACTGAATATTTTCCTGCCAAGCCTCCCTCCTGTTTTCATGTCTTTGTGTGTTCCACTGAATTCAATTAGGATTGATTGGATAAGCATGGGTCTGGGTTATTTACAGGAGCGTGGGCAAGTTATCAGTGGCTACCCCACAAAATTTACTCCCTCTTCCTGCAGCAGCCGTTCCTGGATAGGGCATGGGGCTTCATGAATCCCTCCTCCCACCAGTGATGCAGTGTTGCTAGGCCCCATCTTCTGCAGGTCTTACATAGGTAAGCACAGCTACCTGTATGAGAGAGAGAGAGACCCTATCTTAGGCCAATAACCATCGCACCCACCATTGTTGGCTTTAGTTTTTCATTGGCAGGGACTGTATATATCTGCAGCTACCTGTGCTTGTGGGTACAAAGCCAGAAGACCAGATTTCACAGTAGTTCTTTTTTTTTTTTTTTTTTTTACTTATTTATTATGTATACAGTGTTCTGTCTGTGTGCATGCCTGCAGGCCAGAAGAGGGCACCAGACCTCATTACAGATGGTTGTGAGCCACCATGTGGTTGCCGGGAATTGAACTCAGGACCTTTGGAAGAGCAGGCAATGCTCCTAACCGCTGAGCCATCTCTCCAGCCCCCTTCACAGTAGTTCTTACGTCCTTTCTGCCCACTTCTGAATATTTTTTTAGAAAGCTTGAAATTTTTCATTGTAAAAATACTAGGGAAAACAAACCTATGCTTATATATAATTTACAAGGAAGATGACTATACAGCTATTCCTGCTTCCACCGTTTATACAGTGTTTATACAGTGCTGGGAATTGAAGCCAAGGCTTCATGCTAGATAAGCACAGTAACACATCCCTTACTTAATACTGACCATTATTCTGATATATGTAGCCATACTAGCTACTTATGTGTTCTCTCCTCAATAACTTAAGAGAACGTAGGAAGTTCTAGATACTATGCCCACATTTTGTTGCCAAAATATATATCCAGTTCAAAAGGAGACAAATATACTTAGAAAATTACCTGTTGTGTTAAATATGTATTTATACTAACAGCATCTCAGCTGCCTTATTTGCTCATACACTTAGCAATTGTAGTATTATGCAGAGATGTTAGTCATCCTGTGAATAGCCACAATAATGGGAGTATAGTTTAATTGAATTGTACCCGTAAAATGGTTAAAGTGATGAGTTTTATGACCTGGATATTTTACCATTTAATGAAGCAAGATTGAAGATTTTATTAAAGATATTTTAATATTGGCTTCAGCGTGATGGTTAAGAGCAAAGAAGTGAGCCGGGCAGTTGGTGGCACATGCCTTTAATCCCCAGCACTCTGGAGGCAGAAACCGGCAAGCCAGCCTGGTCTACAGAGCAATTTCCAAGACATCCAGGGCTACACAGAGAAACCCTATCTCAAAAAGCAAAACAAAAAAGTAAAGAGGTGTTCAAGGAAAGAAAAGTATATTTGAGACTATGATGTGGGTTTCTCAGAGTCCAAGAGACTTAAGTCATATCCAAGTATGGGTAAGAGGTACTACAAGGGAGAAATGCCCATAGTTTAAAAAAGGAAAAAAAGAAATTTACTTGGCATGCATATGTGGAGGTCAGAGGACTTCTTCCACAACATGTACCCCAGATACCAAGGTTAGGTGGTCAGACTTCCACGACATGTACCCCAGATACCAAGGTTAGAAGTTGTCCTAACCACTTACACAAACTTTGGTGGAAGAAAGGGGGGTTCTCTATGAGTTAAATCAGTATCAGATTTGTAGAGAGCTGGGGATATAACTCAGTTATTAGAGGGTTCCCCAAATAAGCACAAAGCCGCATTCATCCCCAACCTAAGTGTGGTAGAGACAGGCAGATCAAAAGTTCAAAGCTAGCATCAACTGCATAGACTGTTTAAGTTACCTAGACTACACAAGATTCTGTCACAAAAAGGTTTTTAGTTGGGGCTGAAGAGATGGCTCAGAGGTTAAGAGCACTGCCTGCTCTTCCAGAGGTCCTGAGTTCAATTCCCAGCAATCACATGGTGGCTCACAGCCATCTATAATGAAATCTGGTGCCCCTTCTGATCAGCAAGCATACATACAGACAAAACACTGTATACATAATAAATAAATAAATAAATCTTTTAAAAAAGTTTTTAGTTTAGAGGTGGTAGGTGGTTTTAGAGGCTGGGTCCTGCTATACTGCTCAGGGTAGCCTCCAACTTGGTGGGCTTGTCTGACTTCCCAAGTTGCTAGACTGCACACATTTGTTACTGTGTCCAATCAGAAAAATGTGTTTAAATTAGCTTCTCAATGGAATTATTATTTAATTAGAATAGCCATTCCGATACTGTGAAGCTTTATGTTGGATTTTTACACTTTCACTGTTGAATATTTTGTATATACTTATCACCAAAACACTAGGTGGAGGTGGGGGATCCTCAACAAAATTAGAAAAACAGTGCCCGTTACCTGCATTCAGTCCTTCCTCATCCCCTAATATTTACCTACCCTTCCTTGTTCTCCTTTCTGAATGTTACACTGCACCCACATTTCTTCACATATATACAGATATATGGCTTTGGCTAAAGAAAGCAGGAAAGTGAGCTATTCGGGGCTTTCAGGCCTTGTACGACTGGTGCTTCAGTGTATAGGATTTCTCTTGTTTTATACAGTAAAGATCCTTTCTCCAAAGTTTTGCTTTCCTTTGCTTCAATTACTTAAAGTCAACAGCATATATCATAGTCTAGGGTATGACTGTGAGAGTTCATTAAAATGTAGATTTTGGGTCTGCTTAATTTTGTTGCATGAATTTTGCTGTGGGTTCTTTATAATATAGTTATAAAAATAAACGTAATAGGCTTAAAATTTCTATATTTGAAATATAACAAATATTTAATCTAGAAAAGAGGAGTAATTCTACCTGTGATACTGGAAACATGTAGATCCATATTTATCATATTGCCATTCTAAGTCATTTATCCCTGTCCTTTGTGCTTCTTCATCCTCTCTCCCCAAGGTTGTGGATTGAACCCAGGACCCTGTGAATTTGCCATACCAATAACTTATAACCCTCCCTGTTGTTTTGTTTTTACTCTTTGTTTTTTGGGGGGCGCCACCCAGCTCCCAAGCAAATGCATGGAGTCTTGCTCTTACGAATGCCCAACCTTAGCTTGGCTTGTTTCTAGCCAGATTTTCTAACTTAAATTATCCCATCTATGTTTGCCTCTGGGCTTTTTCCTTCCTCTATTTCTGTTTATCTTTTCTTTACTTCTTACTCCGTGGCTTGCTCTGTAGCTGGGTGACTGACCCCTGGTGCCCTCTCTTATTTTTTTATTCCTTCCCCTTCTCTTTTTCTCCTTCTATTTGTTCTCTCTGCCTAGCATCCCCTGCTTATCCCTTCACTGCCTAGCAAAGAGATCAATCCAGGGGTTTTAGAGAGGCAAAGTAACAGCTTCACAGAGTTAAACAAATGCAACATAAAAGAACATAACACATCTTTACATCATTAAACAACTATGCCACAGCATAAATAAATCTAACACATCTCAACACCTTGTACTTTTTGTTTGTTTGTCTTTTTATTTTCTTAAAAAAAGAAAACGGGCTGGAGAGATGGCTCAGAGGTTAAGAGCATTGCCTGTTCTTCCAAAGGTCCTGAGTTCAATTCCCAGCAACCACATGGTGGCTCACAACCATCTGTAATGGGGTCTGGTGCCCTCTTCTGGCCTGCAGGCATACACACAGAATATTGTATACATAATAATAGATAAATATTTTTTAAAAAAAAGAAAACTATCTTTTTTCATTATACATACCAATCCAAGTTCCCACTCCCTCCCCACCTCCCCATTCCCTCCACCTACCCTCTCACCCCACCCCCATCCAGTTCAGTCCTCAGAGGCACATTACTTTGGGGAAGGTCCAAGGCCCTCCCTTATAAAACCAAAGATACTTAAAACTGTTTGAATCCTCTGGTTCACTACTCAGAATTACTGGAAAGATGAATAAGAAAAAAAAATGGATAACAAAGTTCAGAAGATAGATTCTGTAGTGGAAGATTAAAAGGAGAGAAAAGAAATGCTCTACTTGGAATAAATTCATTGTTTGGACTCTGTATTTTAATATAAGTTCTACAAAACCACATAATAATTCCATCCCATTAGCTAAAAGCTTCATGTGCACCCCTGAAGGTAAACATTTTTCTCTTAATTTTCAGAAGTTGCTGGGTGTGTTTTGCCACCGATGAAGATGATAGAACAGCTGAATGGGTGAGACCATGCAGATGCAGAGGATCTACTAAGTGGGTTCACCAGGCTTGTCTGCAACGCTGGGTGGATGAAAAGCAAAGAGGAAACAGTACAGCTAGAGTGGCATGTCCTCAGTGCAATGCTGAATACCTAATAGTTTTTCCAAAGTTGGGTAAGGACTGTTTGACTATATTAAGAACAGCATATGTGTTTCCTGTTGTTATACAGATATATGATGTCAAGCTTTTTTTTTTTTTTTTAAAGGAAAATGGTGGGGACTTGAGACAAGATTTCACTCTATCCCAGGCTGGCCTGGAACTCATGATAGTTCCCCAGCCATGAACCCCAATACCCAGCTCTCTGGTAGGCTGGTTGGTTTTTATGTTTGAGTATTTTGCCTGAGTGTATGTATATGTATGTGCATGCCTGGTCCCCAGGGATGCTACAAGAGGGCATTAGATCCCCTGAAGCTGAGTTTGATAGTTGTAAACCACCAAGTGAGTTCTGGGAACTGATTCCAGCGCTTCTGCAAGAACTGTCAATGCTTTTTATTATGCCGCCCCTCAGATTTATTTTTAAATTATTTCATATCTTTGCTATTTGGTGAATTTTTATATTTTCCCTCTCTGAATGTCAAAGATTTATTTTGCAAAGAGTTTACAATATCTTTAACAAGTCCTCAGACTTGCCTATTTGTCTTTGTGTTTTTGTTTGAGAAGAAAAATATTTCTAGCACTCAGGAGACAGAGACAGGTGAATCCCTGTGAGTTCAAGGCCAGGCTGGTCTACAAAGCAAGTTCAGGGCAGACAGGGCTGTTACATAGAGAAACCCTGTCTTGAAGCATTACCCTACTCCCTCTCCTCCCCCCGTGGGAAAAAAGAAAAAAGAAAAAACTTTCATGCCTAACTATGGATATAACTGAACAAGAGAGCTGAAATACAAAGCCGACTCAGGGCTGGAGATACAGCTTAGTCAGTAAAGTGTTTGCCTGGCAAACATGGGACCTAAGTTCAGTTTTCAGAACATGGAGCCCTGTGCTAGAGAAGCAGAAGCAGGGTTGTCCCACACCCTGTCTCAAATGAGGTGGACGGTGCTTCTGGGGATTACACCTGAGATTGCCGGGCGGTGGTGGCGCACGCCTTTAATCCCAGCACTCGGGAGGCAGAGGCAGGCGGATCTCTGTGAGTTCGAGGCCAGCCTGGTCTTCCAGAGCTAGTTCCAGGACAGGACCAAAAGCTACAGAGAAACCCTGTCTCTAAAATTAAAAAAAAAAAAATCATTCAGCCTTAGGATGGAAGTACAGATTTACTGGTGTGTGACACCTCACCCAGTTCTACCTGAATCTGAATCACAGCTAGAGCAAAGTTGGGTTTACAGTGTCTTGAGACAAAGCTGATTGCTTCTTTTGGAGTAGCCTAATATGTTTACCCAAAAGTTTCAGTTTACTTTTGTCACTCAATTTTGAAATGCAAAAACTTGAATTTACCCAAAATATTAGGAAAGTTTGTCTTTATAAAAATCTTTATTATATGAAAGAATTCACAATAAAACTTCCTTTTAATTACAGGCTTCTCTAATACCTTTTGAATTAGATTTATAAAAGTTGTTGTTTATAAAGTTTCAGTTGCCATCCATTATATAAATATAATACTGTTGAAAGTGTATGTGGGGGCTGGAGAGATGGCTCAGTGGTTAAGAGCATTGCCTGCTCTTCCAAAGGTCCTGAGTTCAATTCCCAGCAACCACATGGTGGCTCACAACCCTCTGTAATGGGGTCTGGTGCCCTCTTCTGGCCTTCAGGCATATACACAGACAGAATATTGTATACATAATAAATAAATATTTTTAAAAAAGAAAGTGTATGTGGTCAGACCCACCAAGCCATTGAAAATCCAGTCCTGTGGACTGAATGTAGCTTAGTGACAGAACGCTTAGTAGCATGCATGAAGTTCTAGGTCTAGTCACCAGTCAGTGTTGGAAAGCTAATAAAGCCTTTCTAAAATACTGAAACTTTTATGCCCTTAATTTGTGTTGAGCATTTATTCATGTTTTCTCTTTCCTGTTAGAATTAGAGTTTTCAAGGACTAGGATTTTGTCTCCTCCCATACTCCTTCACTCTTTGTGTTGTAATCTGATACTGTATTCCTAAAATTATGGTCCTGTGTCATAAAGGCGATTGGCACACTCAGTTGGGGATTATCATCCAGAGGATTTCTGTATGTGCATTGGTGTTTTGTTACGTGTGTGTCTGTGTAAGGGTGTCAGATTCCCTGGAACTGGAGTTACAGACAGTTGTAAGCTGCATGTGGGTGCTGGGAATTGAACCTGGGTCCTTTGGAAGAACAGTCAGTCTCTTAACCTCTGAGCCATCTCTCCAGCCCCTTGCTTAGATAATCTTTAACTCACAGAAATATTTCCACAGGCTGGCTTTTTATCATAATGATATGTTTAATACTAAATATTCTTCCTTCCAAATACTAAAACTAGTCTTGGATTAGTCTGCCTGGAAGAAATGAAATATTTGGGCAAAGTAAAATTAAGATAAAAGCCAAGACAAGAGTTTTATCTGAAAAGTCTAGAATAAGTAATTGAGCCCGTTCCTTAATTTTACTGGGCAAGTATTCTATAAATAACTCAAGGGACAGACACAAAATTTTCAAAATAAAAATAAGGGTTATGGGGTTTTGTACAAAAAAAAAAACACCGTATAATTCCTCAAGAAAGTTTAGCTTATTTTGGTATGATTTTCTGCAGTTTATTAGGAAAGACGATTCAGGCGTCTAGGTTGTCATTCAGGCTCTAATAAATAAAATAATTGTAGGCTGCCTTTTAGGAATTACATTTTCATCCAAGTACACATGACTTTTATATGAGTTATATCCCGCCCGTCCACTAGTTTCAATTACCATATGTATCTTCGGAGAGAATTCAGTTACACAAATTGCTTAAGAATCATGAGCATTTGGGGTACATCAATAAATAAAATCAGAACTTTTCCCCTTTGGAACCTGTATTTCAATACAGGAATAAGTAGATCTCTAAAGACCTCTATAAATAAATATGTTTTAGACTTTGCATCTGGCCATTTTCCAGTAAAACTTTAATTACAAAAGTAGACAGCTGGTTAGATTTGGCTATGGGGTTGTGGTTCTCCAACCATTGTTGTAGTAAATTGAAATAGATTTAATAAGAAAAGTATGTTATGTGATGAAGATGCTTTAGGAAAAGGAGATATGTAAGTAAGTATGGTGTGGTATAGATTAGCAGAGGGAACTTTATGAAAGTAAAGAAGAAATCAGCAAGGAAACTTAAATTGAGTGACAAGATGTTCTGGAAAGAACCAACCATATGTTGGAAAGAAAATATGTCATGTTTAGCTGATAGGCTAAGTAAATGTACTGAGATTAAACCACTGAATTTAGATATGTGGAGGTTGTTAGTGATACCCATGAATAGGTTTTTGGAAAAAACTAAAGGAAAATTGGACAGTTATTTTGAGTATTCAGAGGAAGCAAGGAAATGGAGTAGTAGGACAGGAAGGATCAGAAGGTTTTAGAAGGCCGGTACACTGGGAAGGTGAGGCAGGTGAATCTTTATGAGTTCAAGACCAGCCTAGGCTACATAGTGAGGCACTCTCTCAAAAATAATAAATAAATAAAAAGATTTTAGGGGGTTGGTGAAAAGATTCAGCAGGTAAGGACACTGCCTGCCAGTCTGAGTTCTGGTCCTTGGTGGTTGAAGGAGAGAACTACTTCCTGAAGGTGTCCTCTGGCGTCCTCAAAACACATACCTACATCCCACATATCCACACATAGTACAAAAAAAAAAAAAGTTTATTTTAAGATAAATGAAGTAATGTTTGTCTGATAGAAACAAGTAGGGTTAATGATGAAGGAGCCAAGAAGAGAAAGGCGGGTGCTGTGACCTTGAGAGTGAAGAGAGACCTCCTGGTCTAAAGTGCAAGCTTGGCTCCCAGGGCTCCAGTATTGACCGTGGGAACGCAGAGGATCTCCTGGCTTTAGTTTTCTGATTACAGATTTAGTAATCCTAAGAAATTCAAATGCTGAGCTTTTATTATGTACCCATGGTTTCTGGCTTCCAGTGCCACCATCTAAGGAATCTTTCCTTCACAACGTCACCTCTGTCTTTACAGTGGCTGGCTCTAGAAGTCAGTGGGGAGTTTTTATCGAGCCTTTATAAGATTTTTTTCCTTTTATGTTTGTTTAATTATTCTATTGTGAAATTACTATATTAATTTCTTTATACAATATGGTAACTGCTTTTGTGTTTAACATTCTTTAGATTGTAGGCTCCAAGAAAGCACGGGATAGAACTTATACATATCTAAGAAATGTCTAAAATAACAGTTTGTATATAGAGATATTCGACAAATAAATTACTTAGCCAACAAGTTACTTATATCTTTGGTTAAATGCAGAGGTTCAATTCTTTGGTTTTGTGGTGAACAGATCTACAACCTTTCCATTTCTCTGCAAAATTCTAGAGGTAAATTAAATTGGACTTACTGGCAAGTAAATACTTCCAAAATAGTAAGACTATAAGTGATTATTGGCACATGTGCTATTAGAATACCATAAACACTGACTCCATAATCATTTAGAAAAAGCTATGCCAGCCTGGTCTACAAGAGCTAGCTCCAGGACAGGCTCCAAAGCTACAGAGAAACCCTGTCTCGAAAAACCAAAAAAAAAAAAAAAAAAACAAGAAAAAGCTTATTAGAAAATAATTTTCTTTTTTTTAATTTTATTTATTTTTATGTGTATGGATGTTTTGCCTGCCTGTATGTCTGTCCACCATGTATGTGCAGTGCTCACACATGGTGGTGGGGGGGGGGGTGTCAGATCCTCTAGGACTGGAGAAGTAGGTGGCTGTAAGCTACAACAAGGGTCCTGAACTGGCCATGTTTCATAACTAGTAAACACTTAAGTGCTTTCCTAAAATTCAGAGAAATCACTACAAGAATTGATGATTTTTTAACTCCTAGTATCAGAGCTATCTATCCTTTTGGAATAAAATGATTTTGGACTCTGTCAAGAAACCTAAAGGCAGGACTGGAGAGATGGGTACATGGGTAGGAGTGCTGATTACTCTTCTAGAAAATAATTTTCAACTAAATACAGTATATTTAAAATCAGGTAAAATAAATTGACTTGTGTGGCTATAAGAAAATAGCCATGGGGCTAAAGAGATGGCTCATTGGATAGGAGCACTTGCTGTTCTTACAGAGGACCTGGATTCAGTTCCAGCACCCACATCGAGGCTCACAGCCATATGCAATACAGGTGCAACACAGACATGCATGCAGGCCAGAAAAAAAAATCCTTATGTACATTAATAAATAAGTAAATATTAATATTTTTTAAAAATAAAAGTAGCATTACCTTTATACACTGTATCAAGACACAATGGCTAAAGTCAGAAATGCAATTTTATTTATTTTTTTTAAACAGGACTTAATGGTTCCTAGGAACTATTTGAAAAAAAAAAAAACAAGCAAACTCAAATAGTCCTTTCACTCTACAGTAGCCAGTGTGATTGAGGTAGAAGTGAGGTTTCCCTCATCTGAAGCAACTTTATTTATTGCTCTAATTACAGGATCAATAATAAAGTTTGAACAGCCTAGATATTCATTCATGCAAATTATCGAGAAAGTCTAAACTACTCAAGTCTGAATTTCTGTTAGACATATAACAACTAGAGATTGGAGAGATGACTCAGTAGCTAAGAGTATGCTATAGCTTGCTCTTCTAGAGAACCCAAGTACAGTTCCCAGCACCCATGCCAAATGTCTCACAGTCACATGGTAACTCCAGCTCCAGGGGATCCCATGCCTCTGACCTCCACAGGCATCCAGACATGTGACACACACTTGCACACACACACACACACACACACACACACACAAAACATATCTAAAAATATCTATTTAACAACTGTTTTTAGAACATCTAACTTCATACAAGTGTTTTAGACCTATAGAAAATATTGAAGAAGTCATCCTAAAAACCCACCTTGTGTTGAAACTTTTCTCTCTTCATATTGTAGGTCCAGTCGTTTATGTCTTGGATCTTGCAGATAGACTGATCTCAAAAGCTTGCCCTTTTGCTGCAGCAGGAATAATGGTTGGATCTATCTATTGGACAGCTGTGACTTATGGAGCAGTGACAGTGATGCAGGTTCACCATTCTACTCTATTCAGTGATACTACTTTTGATGTGAAGGTCTATTAAATATTTGCTAGGAGTTTTTAAAATGTATTGTTTTAAATAAGTAATGATACTATCATGATTAAAGAATAACAAGTTATATAAAAAGTAGACTAGAACCAGCAAGATGGCTTAGTGGGTAGAGATGCTTGCCACAAAGCCTGATGAAATGAATGATCCAAGTTCAATTTCCCCAGCCCTCACATTGATAGAAAGGGAGAGAACTGGACTCCCTAAAGAAATTCTCTTTTGACCTCTACACATGAGCTGTAGCATGCCCCACCGTCATCCATGCACACAGTAAAGTGCTGTACAGACTGGTCTAGGGAGAGTTCTCCTGTCCTTCATTTGCCTAGATCCCCATCACCTCCTTAGGTACCCACTATGGCTAATTTCATATTATAGCTGCAGTCTCTTTTCATAATGATTCTTGATCTTTTCATATAACTGTAGAGATCTGTCTAGCGTTCTGTGTATAAAAATACAGCAGTTTATTAACCATTGTGTTTTTACTTTTAGGTAAGTCTCACTCAGTGTTGGGACTTCAAGTAAGGTGTACATAATGACATACTAGAGAGCAGTTATATAATTATGTATGTAAATATGAATCAAATACAGACCTCTATCAACATTTTTAATTCAGTAAAAGGGAAAGATCAATTGCTATTATAAGAAAAGACTTGAGCTGGTGCTTGAAATTTTTAATAATTTGGATTTATAGACTGGAAATATTAATATAAGCAAGGAAACAAAAGTTAAAAATATGTATTGTGGGTTAACTGTTTAGAAATCACCTTTTTATTTACTCCCTTGCTTGAAACATTTATTCCAAGAATGAGTGATTAGCTGGAACGGTAGATACGTACTGTGTAATTTTAAGAGTACTGGGACAGCATCTTTTACCTACCTAAACATGCATATATGAGTATGTAAGCAAAGCTTTCATGGTAAAAATCCTATAAATGATTACATTGAAAGTCAAAAGTAAGATAATAGATGTTGCTGCTGTTACTTAACATTGTTTTGGCTATTCCAATCACCATACAACACTTCTATTTACCTGTTTTTATTTCTATGCAGTGTCTAAACCAACAGTATTTATGTGGGGTTTTTTTTTTTGGCGGGGGGTGGGGGGGTGGGGGGGTGGGCAGACTAGTTTATGTCAAGTCCCAGAGTTAACATTAGCAAAACATGAATGGGCAGGATATGGAGCTTGCCTCCAGTTTGATTTGTAGCCTAAAGTTGGCCTTGAATTTCTGAACTTCCTGTCTCCACCCTGCCATGGGGTAGGATTATAGCCTTATGCTGCTCTAATGGTTAATGTTGATTGTGGACTTGACAGGAACTAGGCACTAAAAATACAAACCTCTGGGCACTCCTATGAGGGATTATCTATCTTAGGTTCATTGAGGTGGGGCTCTGGATTTTGTAAAGCAGAGAAAATGAACTGGGGTTACCTTGTACTCGGCTGCATCAGACTCCTGTCAGCACTTCCCACTATGCTGACCTGTGTTCTCAGCCTGTCAGTTAGGGAACCCCTTAAATCCTTCTGTTGGGTATTTAATCACAAGTAAAACTAGCTGATACAGCTACTGTGCCCAGTTTATATGGTGCATCAACTGAGCTACATGCATATCATGCCCTGAGATTTGCCGTCCCCCGGGGCCTAACATTTTTTTTTTAGTTTGCTGTGATCAGCTCTGCAGTTCATATAAATCACCAGCCAGATCACTATTCCTTTCCAGTTAATTCTCATTACTTCTCCATGTCTCCAGTCTATAGTTAATGGAATTTGAATGAGATTCTTCATTTGCTTTTTGTGTTTGTTGGTTTTTTTGTTTCGAGACAGGGTCTCGCTGTGTAGTCCTGGCTGATCTTGAACTCATGAAGATATACATACTACTGCCTCACAAGTGATAAGTTGGGGCGGGGGGTTACTGTTGTGAAGCAGGGTCTATGTAGTCTTACGTAGCCCTGGCTGCCCTAGAACTTGGTTTGTAAACCAGGTTGGCCTTGAACTTAGAGATTCACCTGCCTTTGCCACCATCTATTGCTTTTTGGTTTTTTTTTTCTTTTTCTCTTCACTCTTTTAGGGGCCCACCACCCAGTTCCCAAATAGTCACATGGAGGCTCATTCTTATAAATGACTTGCTTATTTCTAACCAGTTTCTCTTAAATTATCCCATCTCTCTTTTGCCTTTGGACTTTATCTTTCTTTCTTTCTTTCTTTCTTTTTTTTTTTTTTTTCGAGACAGGGTTTCTCTGTGGTTTTGGAGCCTGTCCTGGAACTAGCTCTTGTAGACCAGGCTGGTCTCGAACTCACAGAGATCCGCTTGCCTCTGCCCTTGAGTGCTGGGATTAAAGACGTGCGCCACCACCGCCCGGCTGGACTTTATCTTTCTATGTGTCTTTCTTCTTACTCCATGGCTTGCTGTGTAGCTAGATGTCTGACCCCTGGTTTTTCTCCTCCTATTTATTTTCTCTGCATGCCAGTCCCGCTTTTCCTTTCTCTTGCCTACCTATTGGCCATTCAACTCTTTATTAGACCTACCAATCAGGTGTGTTAGACAGGCAAAGTAACAGAGCTTCACAGAGTTAATTAAACAAATACAACATAAAAGAATGCAACACATCTTTTCATCATTAAACAAATGTTCCACAGCATCAACTAATGTAACACTTCTTCAACTAACACTCCACAACAACCTTCAAATCAGATGGAGAGCTAGTGCTAAAGGACTGCCACCACACCTGCCCAGCCTTTTTTTATGTTTTTTTAAACAAGGTCTTTTTACTTGAACTCCTGATCTTCCTACCTTAGCCTCCCAAGTGCTGGGTGACAGCTTTATGGCACCACTTGACAAAACTCTAATAAAAAAATTAGTATACAAAATAACGGGTTTATTAATGGCATTTTATGCATATGTGTAATAATTTTTGTTCTTTCTTAGCCCAGTTCCCCACTATCTTTTTCCCTACCCTCTTGCCTTTCTTACTGGATCTTTTCCCTCCAGGGAGGCGCCTCCTAATTTCCTGTCATGTAGATGTTCTTTTGCCTCCTACCTTCTCACAGTCCCCTTTTAAGTTTTATAACAAAAGCATATGTAATATATACACTCAAATTTGAATCTAGATTCTGTGTAGTCTAGAAGACACAGTCTTTCCTTACATGTCTGATTTATTTTGCCTAATATAATGATTGCCAGGTTTGTCCATTTTCTTGTATATTATCCATTTTCATTGTCCATTGTTCATGTGTACAACATTTTCTTTGTCCATATATTATCTGTTGGTAGACATAAGGGTCCTTTGGGTATATCACCAAGAGTAGTGTAGTTTTTTGATTAACTTCCGTGCCAATTTCAGCAGCGGCTGCACAAGTACATATTCTCACTAGTCAAATATAAGAATTCCTCTTTTCCACATCCTCCCTGACCAACCTTTGTTTCTCAAAATTAGTCATTTGACTGGGATGGATTGGAATCTCAGAGCAGTTTTGATATGTATCCTTGATGTCTAATAATGTTGAACACCTTTTCAAATATTAATATGTATTAATCATTTGTATTTCTTCCTTGAGAAGTATATTCAGTTCAATAGCCCATTTTGGGATTAGAAAAATTTTACTCACAATAGCTTTAAAAAAACCAAATATTAGCCGGGCGATGGTGGCGCAGGCCTTTAATCCCAGCACTCGGGAGGCAGAGGCAGGCGGATATCTGTGAGTTCGAGACCAGCCTGGTCTACAGAGCTAGTTCCAGGACAGGCTCCAAAGCCACAGAGAAACCCTGTCTCAGAAAAAAAAAAAAAAAATTTAAAAACAAACCATCTTCAAGTTACTGAATAAGATATTAAGGTCTACAAGATGGCTCAGTGGTTAATAATGCTACTCTTTCAAAGGATCTGGGTTAAAGTCCCAGCACCCACTTGGGACCTCACAGCTGTCTGTAACTCTAGTTCTAGGAAGCCCAACCCCCTTCTACAGGTACCAGGCATACATGTAGTACACAGACACACATTCAGGCAAATACCCATACACTAAAATTAAAAAATATATATGTATATTATGATGGAAAGACCTCCCTTATACATGGACTAGCAGGATTAATATTATATAAATGTCTATTGCCGGGCAATGATGGTACACACCTTTATTTCCAGCACTGGGGAAGCAGAGTCAGGTGGATCTCTGAGTTCGAGGTCAGCCTGGTCTACCAAAGTAAGTTCCAGAACAATGAGGGCTCCACAGAGAAACCCCATCTCCAAAAACAGAAGCAAACAAACAAGTCTGTATTATCAAAATCAAACTCCATATTCAACATAAAGTGCATCACAGAACTAGAAAAGGCAATCCTAAAATTCATAACTACTAAAAGACCCTCAATAGCCAAAGCAGTGCTAAGCAAAAAAAGCAATGCTGCATATATCACTATATCTGATCTCAGCCAGATGTGGTGGTCCATGCCTCTATTCCCAGCATTCTGTGAGTTCCAGGCCAGCAAGGGTTACATAAGACCTATCTTAAACACACACACAAAAAAACTGATCTCAGATTTAACTACAGAAACATAGTAACAGTACTATGATGCTGGCACAAAAACAGGTATGTAGACCAATGGAATAGACTATAGTTAACACAGCCATAGCCACCTAATTTTCAGCAGTAGTGTCAAAAACATGCATTAGTTTGGATGTGATGTTCAGTGTCTGTAACTGTTTGAGAGGTAGAGGCAGGAAGATCAAGAGTTTAAGGTCAGCCTCAGCTACATAGTGAGTTTGAGACAGCTATCCTGGGATATATGTGAGACCATGTCTTAATACACACATTGAGGAGAAAAACCAAGTTTTTCAGTAAATACCTCTCCTCCTTCGTGTCTGTCTTGTTCTCCGTGTAAACAGGATATCCACTTGAAGGAGAATGAATCAAAGATCTTAGAAAAACATAGGTTAAAAAAAAATTCTTAAAGGCAAAGACAAGAATTTTTCCTGAAGGACTCTAGCAGCAGGAATTGACAAACAGAATTACATTAAATTAAAACATTTCTGACAGCAGAGGAAACAATGACCACAGTAAAGGTAGCCTTCAGTATTATGAGTCTTTCTCTGTCTTCCTAGCCAGCTTTCAAATAATGTAACGGAAATTTCATATGAAAGCTCTGCCTATAGCTCAGGCTAGATCCTAATTAGTTCTTTTTGGATTTTCGAGACAGGGTTTCTCTGTAGCTTTGGAACCTGTCCTGGAACTCTCTGTAGACTAAGCTGGCCTCAAACTCACAGAGATCTGCTTGCCTCTGCCTCCCGAGTGCTGGGATTAAAGGCGTGCGCCACCACTACTCGGCTCCTAACTAGTTCTTATAACTTAAATTAACCCATTTCTATTCATGTACATGCTGCCATGTAGCTTGTGGCTGTTACCTCTCCTCCTTCCTATCTGTCTTGTTCTCCGTCTCCTGGCATCTCTCCTACATGCCTAGATCCCTCTTTCTACTTCCTCTCTCTGCCCAGAAGTGCTGCCTATATCTCCTGCCAGCTACTGGCTATTTATTAAACCAATCACAATAAATCTTCATACAGTGTACAGATATCCCATAATACTCAGAATGAGAAAAAATAGTTGCTACCTGTACATTAGACAGGATACCCATATCCAGAATATATAAAGAACTATAAAAAATCAAATTTCATTTGCATATGCATTTTGTATAGGCCAATTCATTGTGGAGGTCAGAGAACAACTCTTTGAAGTCAGTTCTTCTGTTACCTTGTGGAATCCTGTGATCAAGCTCAGGTCACTTAGGCCTCTGTGCAAGTACTTCTACCCACTAAGCATCTCCCCATCCTCCACTTGCATTTTTTATTGAAAAGACAGCATATTATTAACCTACCCAGCACTACAATAAATGACTTTTAAGTATTGATGGATTTAAACCCTAAAAACAATGTTGTGCCATAGATAAACTTATTCCTAGTGTACTGATTGATGTGTCCTATTTCAGATAGCAAAAGCACATTAGGCCCTGCCTTTAGTGTAAAATAACCTCCATAAACATTGAAATGTTTTTCTTCTTTTTTTTTACTTTTATTCTTATTTGAGGCAAGATCTTTTGAACTTCTAAGTACCTAGTAGCTAGGAATTAATAGGCAATGTGCATTGCACTAAAGCCTTACATAAGCAGAGCACTGTGGCCACTGAACTACAGCCTCAGCTGCTAGCTGTGTGTTTAGGCTGTCTTTTGAAGGCTAGTCCCACTCTGCTTTGACTGTACTTACCTAAAAGGAAGCACAGGACACAAACATCTTCTAGATGACAAATACAATCTAAAATTATCCCAGTCCCAGAGCCCACTGACAAATTTGAGTAAGAGAAATGAAAGTAAATGATAGAAGACCCACCCTGCATTCTGGTGCACAACCCCCCCCCCCCCACACACACACACACAATGATACTTTACAGTCTAGGTTCTTTTTTTGGGTATAGAGTTTCTCGGTTCTTGAATTTTGTCTACTAAGCCATGAATTCATAGAGAATGGAGTCCAGCATCGCAGGCTCCTTTCCATTAGTTCTCACCAAGTGTGCTTTCCTGGGTTGAGCAGGTTGGTGTTGAGCTGAACTAGGTGCCTTTTTCTTTTTGATTGTTTTCTTTTACCTGTCTTAGGAAGGTGTCTCAGCTCTTAGAGTACTTAATTTACTCAATACACACAATTCTCTTGGCAAGAATCTTTTTCTTAACTTGCTTGTTTACAGTGATGCCCTTGGCATGCTAACTGATGTTGTAAACTTCCAGTTTTGCCATGGTTACACTTAATGGGGCATTTCTCCTTAGTGTCTGCCATATCACCCTTCCTGTAGATTTGAATGTTACGTGGCCAGAAGAACACTTTCATGTTTCCAAAAACAGTCTAGAGAACATACAGCGGGTGCCTTTCATCTTTCCCTCTGTGTTTGTCATTTTGGCCAGTTACTGAAAAAATGGCTGCTGCACTGAAAAGCTGTGTGTGCTTTTAATCCCAGCACTGTGGAGGCAGGAGCAAGTGGATCTCTTTGAATTTGTGGCCAGCCTGGTCTACATAATGGGTTCCAGGCCAGCCAAAGCTACACAGTGAGACTATGTCTCAAATAATTAAATAACAGCAAATCTTGGATGTACCTTCACACTCTGCTGAGATGTAATTAATGCAATCAGCCATTTTTGTAAAGTTATTTTATTCCAATGTAAAATAGAATAGCTTGGCTATACTTGGCTGTATACTCTTGGCTAGATCATGATGATTTTTATTTTGAGACAGGGTTTCGCTGTGTAACCCTGGCTAACATAGAGCTTTGTAAACCCACCTACTTTCCGTCTGAAAGTCACAGAGATCTCCTTTCCTCTGTGTTCTGAGTACTAGGATTAAAGGTGTACATTACCTCACTCAGCTATGGGTGATCTTTCTTTTTTACTTATTTTGTTTTATTGTGGTTTTTTGAGACAGGGTTTCTTTGTAGCTTTAGAGCCTGTTCTGGAACTAGCTCTTGTAGACCAGGCTGGCCTCGAACTCACAGAGATCTGCCTGCCTCTGCCTACCAAGTGCTGGGATTAAAGGCGTGCGCCACCACCGCCCGGCTTATTTTTATTTTTAATTTATGTTTGAGATTTATTTTTTATACTTATATATGTGAGCCTGTTGGAGTGCATCTACACCACTTGGGTGTAGTTCCCAGAGGCCAGAACGGCTTGTCAGATCTCTTGAACTGGAGTTACGAGTGGTTGTTAACTGCTTTGTGGGAGTTGGGGATCAAACCTGGGTTCTCTGCAAGAGCAGCAAGTGTTCTTAACCACTGAGCCATCCATTATCAGTATTATTTCTTATAAACAAATCAAGGCTAAAGGCTTTCAGACTTTTTTTTTTAACTTTCTGTTTTTTGAAATTAAGTATTTCTTACAAAAGGAACTGAATATATTACCACACAAATATGTGCCACTGTGCCCTGCCTTTAACCCCAGCACTTGGGAGGCAGAACCAGGCAGATCCCTGACGTAGAGACCAGCCTGGTCTACAGAAGAGTTCCAGGACAGCCAGGACTACACACAGAAACCATGTCTTAAAAAAAAAAAAAAAAAAAGCATACCGCTGCTTTAGATAAGAAAATAACTGTAGCAAATGCTGTCTGCTTTACAGGTCGTAGGCCATAAAGAAGGGCTAGATGTCATGGAGCGAGCTGACCCTTTATTCCTTTTGATTGGACTTCCTACTATTCCTGTCATGCTGATACTGGGCAAAATGATCCGCTGGGAGGACTATGTGCTTAGACTATGGCGCAAATATTCAAATAAACTACAAATTCTGAACAGTATATTTCCAGGTAAGGTCCTGAATTGTGCTGTATAAATAAAGCGCTGTTGAATTGACCTTTAGAAGAACCATCACATGGCTTTGTTTGTTGTTGTTTGGCGGGGGGAGGTTAATGTTTAAAGCTGAAAGTATTTTTTTTAACTATTCCTAAGGTTTAGTACTAACATGATGCTTCCCCCTCCTTCTAGGGATTGGTTGTCCTGTTCCTCGAATTCCAGCTGAAGCTAATCCTTTAGCTGATCATGTCTCTGCTACCCGGATTTTGTGTGGAGCCCTTGTCTTTCCTACTATTGCGACAATAGTTGGTAAACTGATGTTCAGTAGTGTTAACTCAAATTTACAAAGGACAATCTTGGTAAGATGGATTTAATATTATTTGTCTCAAGCACTATACAGAAGAGAGTGAAACTGTATTTGTTTTTTAAGGGGAGAGAAGTTCTGTAGGGGCTCTGTGTAGTTCTCCTGCCTTTTCATTAACCCCGCTGTCACCTTAGCGTAAGGGAAATAAACAGGGGGGTTTTGCTGCTGCCAATCTGGCCTTTGGACCCTTTCTATAGGTACCTTCTTTTCTGGAATATGCTCTGGGCTCAGTCCCCAGTACCAGCATCATAAATAAACACAATATGAAACTGGCTCATGCTGTTTCCTGCCACCGCACTTGCCCTCCTTGGTCATAGTCCGCATGGCGCTCTGCCAATCCCCTTTCTACCAAATGAATGTAGAACTCCATGGGAAGAAAGCAGCTTGAATGATGTGGGTGGAGGAAGCTCTTCCTCCGCCGCTTGAAGTGTCTACTTTTTGCCTAATCTCAGCCCTAACGGAAAAGAGTGTTTTCCTTGCAGTTATCAGGATTCATTTGGTGCCAAACCCTGTGTCTTTTGTGATCTTTGTAAAGTTCTTTTTCTTGTTTCTCTAAGCCTGCATTACAAAAAAATTAATCTCCCTTTTTATTTTAGGGTGGAATTGCTTTTGTTGCCATAAAAGGAGCATTTAAGGTTTACTTCAAACAGCAGCAATATTTACGTCAGGCACACCGCAAAATCCTAAATTATCCAGAGCAAGAAGAAGCATAAAACTGACTTCTGTTGTTCTGAGGCCTCTCATCCTGACGAGCCTGACGTGTTGTTCTGATTCCATCATTAATGTACTAGTGGAGACTGGTGATAAGTACTGCTCCTATATTTTTAAGAAATATAATAAAGCACGCAAAGCAGGGGATCCTCTCAGTAATCACAGAACCTAAGGATACGATTCAACTTGGTTATTTATATGTACTGCTTTGACGGCCGTCGACTAAACCATTATTTTAGCATGGTAAACCTGGGTTTGTTCATATTTTTCCAGACAAAAATGTAAAGATAAAACTGTATAAATATTAAAAATGGACATGCTGTTTTATTCTGATGCCTCTTTTGTATATACTCATGTTCAGTGTTTTCTTAGAAACAGCAACTCAATGAAGGTCCTGTGAGGACTTTCCTCACTGGCATAATCTGATTACATGCTAAACAGGAGCCTGTGCTAATATGAGGAAATGTAAATTAGTTCTGAATAAATAACAAACCAAAAAATATATACGTGAGCATTGAAATGATCATCCGAACAACAGAGATTCTGTTGCCTTTTTCTTAACCCATGTGACGTCTCAGATATTAGGGTCAGTTTCCAGGGCTTCCAGATCACTTTTTCACTATTAAAGTTTATTTATGCAATGTTGACATCATAGTTCATAATGTAATTTTGACCCATGTATTCATCGTTGTCGTGTGTGTGTGTGTGTGTGTGTGTGTGTGTGTGTGTGTGTATCTGAGGGGTTGTTCAGAAAAGGTGGGAGGGAGGGCGGCAAGGGAGGGACAGGAGAAATAAGGTAGAAGGCCTGTGTCACTCAGTGTTTTTAAATCCTGTATTTCTAGGACTTGGGGCTGCCAGTTAGTAATTTAAACAGAGAATAACTTGGAAAAAAATAATAAAATTGCTGGGGTTTTTTCATTGATTCAGTTATTTAGATATTTGTTAATTGCCTCCCATTTACTCAGCCACTGGAGGGTGCTGTGGGATACAGTGGTGAATAAGATAAACTTGGTCCCAGCTCTGACAGTTTGCAATTTGTTAGAACAAGCAGTAAGTGACCCAAACTGTGGTCTTGAGCGTTTCGTGAATCTCAGTCAGTGAGGTAATTATGAGAGCAAGTCTTTAATGAGTATCCAGGTGTTGGTTTGGCTATATCCATTTATAAGATAACCAATACTGATGTGTTTAGGGTGTTTTGTTTTTGAGTCAGGGTCTCTCACGTAGGCTAGTCTCAATCTTCCTAGGTATCTGAAGATGACCTTGAACTCCTGCTCCTCCCAGTTTTAGGCTGCTTTTTAGGCAGTGCTGAGGATTGAACCCAGGGCCTTCTGCATGCTAGGTAAACACTACAATTGAGCTACATCACCAGCCCTCTTTTAGATCCTGATTGTCATATTAAGGGGGCTAGCTCCTTAATAAATAGTCTTTGTTTAACTAGTTGTGTATTTATTGTTCAAAAGCAGTTACTTGAGTCATGTTAAATAGTGACCATTCTACTGTTCAGTGATCTGAGTGTTCTTTTACTTATTTTCATTGATTAAAATGAAAATTTTAAAGCTTAAAAAACACTGTTCACAGTGTGTGGTACATGATAATAAATGGTCCCCTACTGAGAAATCGGTACTTGAGGAGTGTAACAAATATAAATTGAGCTGGGTTAGATTGTAAATAAAACATACTTTTAGTAAAGACTGATATCTTTCTAAAGGTTGAATAACTCAGTTTTGAGTTTTATGGTATCTGTGAATGACTATTGAACATCCAGAGTTGTAATTATCTAGGGTATAAGGGACAATTTGACTGAATTAACCTAACACTGCTATTCTAAAGAGAAAATATGAACTCTGATTATAAATAAAAATAACTTAGATATTTAGCTGCAATTATGAAATATATTGACTTTTATAATTCCCATTGTGAAAAGACATACTAAAGAATGACCTTGATAATTTTGTTAAATTGAGCAGCACTTACAGTTATGCAAGCACTCAATTCCCTACATATTACTTTAATGTCCAAGATGGGTTTGATTGGCATCAAGGTCCATGAAGGACAAGGAAGCAGCTCTAATCCCTTGGGGGCAGGAGGTAGAACTTTGTAGAGTAATGGGGAAGGAACCACAAGTGCCTGCAGAAAGGAGCAAATGCTAGTCTTGCAACTGAATAGTTTCAAATCTTAAGAGCCTTATTCCAAGAAAATAACCCATGCCAGTCCTGCCTGGATGGTGGCCACCCAACCATGAAGCAAAAACATGGGCAGAATTAAAGCTGGGTAGGTAGCTTTAAGAGCCTAGTTCAAGTTTTAATAACTGTAGTGTATAACCATGGCAAAATGGCTGCTTGGCCACAGTTATTTTCATCTCTAAAATGCAAATCACACTTAGACAATTTCTAGGATTAGCTGAGAAAGGACAGAGATACTTTAGGCCTCAATAGCTCCTAAACAGTGGTGGTCTGCTCTCTAGGACAGGACAGTAATAAACAGAACAGTAGAGAAGAGAGACAATAGAGACTTTGGGAATATGTGAGTATACTGTTCTCCAATTTATTTTCATATTGTTTTTGTTATTTCTAGAAATGTCAATGTTTTAAACCTCTTTTTATAAAATTCAATGTTTAGTAAAATTCTATTGTAGAAGTTAACTCCATCTAAATGGCTGAAAATATTGTTCATTATGTACTTACCAAATGATTGAAAAATATATAATCAAATTTAGTGACTTTATTAGTCACTGCCTTGCTAATTCTGCTGTAATTTTTTAAAATATCTTGTTTTTAATATAGAAAACTCAATACTGGCTGGATTAGGTTGAATAAAGAATTTTTATGCTCTTTAGGTGTACTTTGTCTGTTGAACCAACCCTAAAATTAGTTCTGTACCTACATAACATACCTACGTTTTTTTTGGAGTTAATTACCAAAATCTTTGTGAGACTATAAAAGTAATCTAAATAATCTTAAATTTTGTTATTTTTTTAGTATTAAATTTTGGGGAGTGGGGGTGGGATACAGAGTTTCTCTGTGAAACAGTCCTGACTGTCCTGAATTCAATTTATAGAACAGGCTGGCCTCAAGCTCACTGAGTTATGTCTGCCTCTGCTCCCCAAGTGCCAGGAATAAAGGCCTGCACCAACACCACTTCCAGAAGTTTTATTTATTTTATTCAAGGCAGGGTTTCTCTGTAGCTTTGGGCCCGTCCTGGACCTAGCTCTGAATGTGTGGGTATGTACACATTGAGTACAAAGTCCATAGAGTCCAGGAAAGGGCACCAGATCCCTGTGAAGCTGAAGTTACAGATGTAAACCACCAGGTGTGGGTGCTGAGAACTGAACCTGGATCCTCTGCAAGACTTTTAAGCCCTGGAACCATCTCTCTAGCCCCATTTAAGTTTGTTTTATATTTTTATTCATTGTGTGTGTGTGTGTGTGTGTGTGTGTGTGTGTGTTATGGAGTTAGAACGGCTTGTGAGTCAGTTCCTTCCACCCTGTGGGTCTGGGGGGTTGATCTTAATGGATCAGATGAGTGAAAGCCATCTCTCCAGCTGTCAAACTAGCTTGTTTGCCCAGTGCAGGAAGTTGTAGTTCAACCCTGGCTCTGCAAAACCAGTTGTGACACATGCCTATAATCCCAGCATTCAGATACAAGTCAATTCAAGGTTATCCTTGGCTGCTACATAAACAGTTTGTGGCCAACTTAGGCTATGTAATACCCTAACAAAAAATAAATGATTTTATAATTAAGATTACCTAATTTCAAAATATATTCTAATAATGTATCCCTTCCTGTCACTCTTCGAGCTCCCTGGGACTTAGTAAATGGCACTGCTTCCCCTGAAATATAGGAACTTTTTAAGTTTTTTGTTTTGGATTTTTGAAAATTTCATGTAGCCCAGACTGGCACCAAACTTGCTGTGTATCTGAGGCTGACCTTGAGTCTTGATGCCCAACCTCTATTTTCCAAAGACTGAAATTATAGGAATGTGCCACCAAAGCCAGTTTGAAATGCTAGGACAAAGTGTTTCTGACGTAGGGGCTAGAAGGAAGGCTCTGTGATTAAGAGTACTTGTTCTTGTAGAGGGCATAATTCCATTCCCAACACCCACCTGGTAGTTCACACTGTAACTCCAGTTATGGGTTGGGGAGGGGGTGGAGGATCTGATGCCCTTTTCGGGCCTCTGGAGGTACCAGGCATGCATGTGACACATGTAGAGAAAACACTCATACACATAAAAATAAGTTTTAAAAACAAAATTTTAAAACATTTCTGACGTAGGTTAAAGATTGAATAAGCCAAAAGCACTTGCATCTTAGTAATTGATCATGTTGGTTTTAAGTCACTATTACCCATGTCTGATGTCTGATACACAGACTAGTTGGAGAAGCTGTGGGTGGCTTTGGATGAATATCCTATCTGATAGATGTGGGGTGAGTTCCTTCTTAGACCCCCAGTTTCTTTGTGAATGAAATGAGAACTGTAGAGCCTGTTTATCACCTGGGTTAAATGACGTGACTTTCTATGACAAATGTTTGGTATACAGGAAAATCAGTACAAATAGGGACATAGTGAAAATTTGTCCATAAGCTCTCCTTGGACACGACTGCCTTCCTGAACACAGGATGGGAGGGCTTACATCTGATACTGAAACCTTACAAACCAGCAATCGGCTAGACTATGATTCTGTTTAAGCCCGTGAAGTTTTTAAGCATAACTATCAAAGGCACACAAAACTTGCTGACCACCTGCATGCCCCGGGTATTGGCTTGGGTAAAATGGTAGATAGCCTGCTTTGAGAGAGTTAGAGGCATAATGCATCCTTTTTGCTTTTGCTTTTTTGTTGTTGTTTTATTTACTACCTAATTCTGACACTAGATTTTCTACTTCTAGAAAGGGGTACATAAACATCGTGTGAAACTTGGGAAAAGCATTGTTTTTATTATGAAAGTGTCCCTTAGTGCTAATTCTCTGTTGCAGGGGGAGTCACTTTATGTGGAGGCCAGAGGTCGTTGTGGAGTAGTCAGCAGTCAATCAACATGTGTTTTCTTCACTGTTTTGAGACAGGGTCTCTCAGTCTTGTTGGCTGGACTGGCCAGAAAGCCCTAGTCCCACTGGGGTCACAACCACACATACCTGGCTTTGCATGGGTGCAGGGAGTGTGAACTCTGCTCACTCACGCTTCCACAGCAAGCACTTTGCCCCCTGCACTTCCTCCTCAGTGTCCTTGCTTCCTCTGGTGACCTGGTTTCTTTCCATTAACCTTTAGCTACATTTTCTTGGGTGGAGAGGGTAGGTTTTAGAGACCAAAAACAACTGCTTGGATTTATTTCTTAGAGAAAGTCTCATTTTGTAGCCTTCACTGGCCTCCAGCTCTCAGTCCTGCCTCAGCTTCCTAAGTACAGCTATGGTGGGTATGACCACTATTCTATTCAGCTTTTTGGCTGTTTTTTTTTTTTTTTTTTGGAGAGGGGGTGTTTTCGAGACAAGGTCTCGCTATGTAGCCTTGACTAACCTAAAACTCACTATGTAGACCAGGCTTATCTGGAACTCAGATCTATCTGTCTCTACCTCCTGAGTGCTGGGATTAAAGGGGTGGGCCACCATGCCCCACTAATTTTTTATTTATTTTATGTATATGGATGTTTTACGTGT